AATTTATACCCTGCAAACAGCTAAGCAAGGTCATCACCTCTGTTACTTCAGAAAGGTTCTTTTCACATGTAAAGGCTTCATTATCTGCATTTACTCTTGCATTTTAAAACATGCCCTGTTCTGTCTTTCAGTTGCTATCACTTATGCCCTAATGCGCAAAAGATTTATGCTTAGTGAAAGAAACAGAAAAGCAGCTTTTAACCCTGACAGTTTATACCTCCTCTTTCTTCACGAGAAAAGACAGAGGTTGGGTAAAATACCAAATAGGAGCAACAGGCTTCAAACTGACTCTTCTCATACTTACCACTGCCTTTCCCACAAGCAATAAAAACTACACAAACCTCCAAACAAGTGGCAGAGGAAAGACCTCATGCAAGTCATACTCATCCTGTTGTAGCAACTTCACTCTTTTACTAACTCCTTTAGGGTTCTGCAGGATCAAATTCAAAGAATTTGAAGGCACTGCCTCCATGAAGTGAACTAGAAAACTGCCACCAGTTTTAATGAGGCAATGGTGGAATCTGTCCAGGAATAAAAACCTTCGTAGCACCTGGAGCACCTTGGTCACACAGAGAGCAAGTTCAATTACCCACTAGCCCAGTGAGTTATTGTGCAACATAGGACTTGGAAGACAGCTGGTAAGAGACTTGTTTTCAGGAAGTCTGTCCCCTTCTACTCCATTCTTTAAACTTGAAATCAAAATTTGTACAAAAGTTTTCAGATTTTTATTCCTGCCCTCTGTTGGCAAGAGGGTGGGGGCTAAAAACACAGACTGAGAATGGAAACAGAAAATTGCCCTGTGTAGTTTGCTTCTTCATTTCATATCATCTGATTTAAGATGAAGCGAGAAGGAGCATTCATTTAAGCAGCTGTAATGAAAAAAGATTGATTGAAAAGTAATTTTTACTCCATTTCTTATGGATAAGAGTCCCAGGTGTCTGTTTTCCTTATATTTTTTCTTTAATGGCTGTCCCCTATTCAGCCCATGAGCTTCAAGGTCAGCTTCTGGTCAAATTACACTTAGCATGAGATGCTCAGTATCTGCAAACCCAGCTGTGGGATCCATCTCCCCCTCTCCCCCTGGCTCGCACTGGGTCTTCCATTCTGGGCTCCCAGCCTGGAAAATTACATTAAACTAAGAGGCTTAGGGTACAAATTTTCATTTTTCCATTTAGATGGCATGGTGGATGCCACACTGGCAAATGTGTCCTAGTAATAGAACATGCTAATTGAATGAGTAAAGTACATGTCTTAGTCCATTCAGACATGCTTAAGCTTGCGATTAGTGACTGCTGACAAAAGCCAAAGCATACAGGATAAACTTAAGCATAATAGTCACTGTGTGTCCTACAACTTTCCATGCACATGAATAGTGAGGGACACTTGCTTTTCTCCTACAAATAAAATAAAATCTAGCAGCCAATGGAAGAAAAATAAGAAAAATAAGAAAATAAGAAAAATAAGAATACTGGGAGAAAAAATACTCCTATTACCTGGCTTTGGATAAAATCCAACCCTTTGGAAAACTGGCTTATGACCAGTGTTTAGAAGATAGAGGTTTACACAGATTTTACATACACATATTTGTGCATTTTGCATACATATATAGGCATTACCTGACATCTGACCCTATCTGTAAGAGTTAGTTTACCTGCCTTGAGAGTATCATGTGGAAGAGAAAATAGCATATATTTTCTTAAATAAAAATACTGTGGGATATGAAAATGATGAAAAAATATCTAAGAAAGGAAAAGAACCTAAAACTACAACCTCAGAAAAATCCCTTAGAAATCTGAAGAGCCCATGAGAGTTGAGTTCAAGCTGTAAGATGAATTTGCACTACTTTGTATTCACTATAAAAGCCCTCCAGGAGCAGCAGTGATTCCAGTCAGGTAGAAAATGGTCTATAAGAGCAAAGTGAAAGCAAGTTCTCTTCATCCTAGACCCTACCCCTACACTTACCCATGCCCAAATATGACACAAGCATCAATGCTTGTGGTGTCTATCACTGAGGAGGAGAGCAACATCCTGCCTTTGGATGTGAAGGGTACTCATGTGAATATACTGTCTGGTGATTTCTGTCCCTGAACTTCACAACAAGCAGTTAAGAACTATCAGGAAAATTTCCTAAAAAGGCTAACCTGAAGCATTGTAATAACTCTTAAAAGACCAAAACAGAAACAAAAGATTCTTAATCCATCTTTTTATTAAGAGACCCTTCAGGGTTTTTTCTGCCTTTTAAGGAACTGAACTACAGCCCAGCAGCTGAACCACGTGTGACATATTACAGCACTTGGTTTTAACTGCTGACGGTTCTAAGGAGGTCTGGCTACTGCTGCACACACTCCACAGCTGGAAGGAAACAGATGTGTATCCAAGTTTACAATACTCGGACATCTGCAGGAATACAGGGTATTTGTGTCCAAAATTCAGTTTTCAGTGGATCCTTCATAGTAAAATATGAAGAATGATGACACAGAAACAATACAGCTCTGAATGGCAACAACGTTAAGGGTTTTTTTTTCTGCAGGATCATTCTTGCTTAGATATATAATCTGTGAGTAAAGTGGAGAACAAAGGACCAATAGACAGGACCAAGCATATCCTGATGTATTAAGGCTAGACAAACTGCTTCTCAGGGATCTTGCCTAATCAAAAAATGGAGGATGTAATTGGGGTAGCTTCTGTCAGGCCCCAGGAAGCTGATGTTTGTACTACACAGCTATATATCCCTTAGCAGAGAATAGGCCAAAGAGGTCAGGAAGAGACCTGGTTGTCTCAAAGACAGGTAGAAATGTGAGTAAGGAGTCAGTTAATATCTTAGAGCTTTAAAGACGAAGAGAGAGCCTGACCTGAATAAAACCTAAGATCAACTGGAAAAAAATTAAGATTGAAAAATGTTGTAACTCATTATCTATTTCCCTATGGACTGATTCTCCTGACCTGGGCAGTCACAATTCTGTTCTTCCATACGCAAGATGCTGCTTACTTCTGGGGAACCTTTGGGATGAACTTCCATATCTTACTGCTTCAGGTGGTGAGCATAATCAAACATGCAAAAAGAAATCTCCACCAACACAAAAAAAAAACCCTGACATGCTCCATATGCACTGGGCTGGCATCTGGATATAAAATCAGCAACACCTAACTATGCCAAAATGCTTCCTAAGACTCCAGAAATCAAATTCCTAAGTGCGACCTCACTTGACTGCCAAAGGAATCCTTTCTATCCCTTCTTTTGACCCTCCCACATGAAAGTTTCCAAAGATGGAGCAAACACCCAATTTCACATTTGGCAATGCTATAAACAGTACCACAACAGCCTGGAAATGTTTGCTATTTCTACTTGTCTTGACACTAATGATACACCCAAGGCAGCTTCCTCTGCACTGGGAGAGTGGCTCAATGCACAGCAGAGGTCAGAACCTGCATTTCCAAGTGAGTCAGGCATGTGTTATAACTGCAGCCACAGCAAGTTTCTGATGTGCTTCTCTTAGACTGATCCCTCCTTGTTATTTTTATTATTTTTCCTCCCTTTTTTTGTGTTGGTTTTGGGTTAGATTTTTTTCCTCACGAAACACAGAAGTTTCTCTGAGACAATCAGAGCATGACTTCTATCCAGTTGTTTCATCAGGCTAAGCATGCCACCCGCTTTTACACATTCCCTTTTCTTGATTTCCCTTTTGAATAAACTCTCCATTATCAAAATAAAATAACATCATTTACAAAGTACCACCTCAGCAGCATGCCTTAGCTTTCATTTCACAGGGCTATGCCAGCAGCCACAAACAGAATCAAAGCAGCCAATTAAAAATCCATATTCATTAACAAACATCATGTGTGCTATAATGCCTTACATTGACTATGGCACCGCAGGAGATGGGAAGCTCACTGAGTTTCCTTGCTCTCAGTCTGAAGCACCGTTTTATCAGAGGAAGGGTTTTACCTTTGCAACTCCACAGGCCAGCAAGAAGAGGCTGAGTGTCCTGCTAGTCCATAGGGCTTGGGCAGCAGAAGTGACAGCTGTTGACCTTTTGCCTCAGAGACATGCCAGACACAGGACTTTGCCAGGATGAGGAGGAGCACACAGAGAAAACCATGAACCTGTGCCAGACCTTTCCCACTGAGGTCTTTAGGTACCAACAGGGCCAGTGGCAAACCAGTCTGCGGCATTACGAGCAGCCAACATAATAAACTCTGCATATGCTTGATTGATGCAACTCATTGGCTTGGCAGGGCCAGGTCCAAGCTGCTGCAGTGAATTAGAAAATTGTCCTGGCTTCAGGGGAGTTCAGCTGATTTACACCATCAACACATCAACCACCACAGACAGCCACATACGTAAGTACAATATCTCAGACCTATACAATGAAGTTATATGAACATATGCCAGGGTTATTTATTTATTTTTATGCACAAGCCTGAGATTTACAACTCATTATAAATACAAGCTGGGCAATTTGCTTTCTATTTTTAGCAGGGATGCTTTGTGCATGAAACAGCTGTCAGCCACTGGGAGCTGCGCTCCTCAGAGCAGCAGCTTCAGACAAAGAGAGGCCTCTTAGAATTCAATTGGAGAACTAGGGTCACTGCTTTGTGGTGAAAGAGAAGCTGGAGATAGCAGACAGCAAGAAAACATAAGCGGTTAACAGAGAACCACTCCTAGAGATTTTCCAGCCCATTTTCCTAAGAAAAGGAGACTTACATGATCACATTGCACAAGAGTGTGCCTGATAGTTCTTCCCAAATAGCTTCAGAGCCTACTGTCCAATTCTGACCAAGTTCAGCAAACATTCACAAGACTTGGAGATAATCTATCCCTGTTGCCTCAAAGATGACAGGCAGATGGGCTTTAGATAGATTCTGCTAATATCCTCACTATGGAAAAATTTATCATGTGAGCTCAGCCTTCTATCACATTCAAAGCTATCCAAACCAAATTCATGCATCAATCGGAAATCAGAGCTCTCCAGATCTGCCATCTTCATGCAGATACTTACCTTGGCAGACGAAGGAAGATGGTGTTTCCCCAGGATGGACCCGTGCAGTGATGAACACCACTTTCTGTTCAGCCCCTGGACGCAGGTTTGCTGCAGCAGAAGAGGGCAGGGGACAGAGGGGAAAAAGAGAAATAAAGGTCCTTAAACTGGGTCCCAGATGTAGAAACAAAGGACCATTAATTTTTAATGCATATCCTTCTATTAAAATTGGTCAAATGCAAAATAAGTATGATTTATAATCAAAAGAGGCAGCATCACCAGGTCTCCATACCAGGCCATACAGCAGACTGCACAAGGGCTGCAAAACTAACGACATGCAGCCAAACCTGCAACAACAAAGTTAGCTCTCTTTTTAAAAACCAAGATTTACTACAGTGAGTTTAACTGCACTATAATTGCGCTCTCACTTGTGATAAATATCCCCCTGGGGCCACAGGAATAGCAGTGGGGGTCCAGTCACAAGGTAGAGCCAATTGCACCCTGCATTACCATTGGTACAAGACTTAACAGTGCCAAGCAATGGTAAAGTGCTACAAATTACATTTATTAGGCTTTGCTCTGGGAGATTTGGAGGTTATTTTTTTCAATCTGTTAACTATTTGGGGCTGCATCTGCCCTGACTCAAAAAAGTGTTCAAAGAAAACCAAAGTATGGAAAAGAGACCAGGATTAAATTCAGGAGCCTTCTCCAGTGAGGGCATGAAAAAGTACTATATCCTCTTTAAATTATGGATAGGACAAAGGGAGATTTAAATCCCAACTATCTGAACTTCACATGGGTTAATCCCCCGGTATTGAAACCACACTACTTTGACCACTTGCTTCAGCCATAAACTACATGGGTCAAGCAGGATCTTTTCTCTCTTTGTGCTGTGACTGCATTTAATACACAGAAAATAAAAATACACTCTTCCAAAATGGGTTCTGGGAATTTTAAAGACCATAAGGGGTCAGGACCTCAGTTAGATGTCTTATCTTCATCTGAACACACACAGCGGGGGTAATACTAATCACAGCAGGCTCCAATTGCTAGAGGCAGTTTAAATCTTTGTTTTGAAGTACAAAGTTTACACACTGAAAGTAGACTGGAAACTAAATCCAACCATTTTGGTTTAATCAGGTAGATGCATTACATATATATCCAAAGCTAGGCTTTTAATTTCAAAGGTGTTTGAGAGTCCTCAAGACCATACCTGAGTTAATTTTGTAATTTCCTAAATTCTTAGAAGTGCTCAGTCATCCTAATGGTAAATCACACTCAACCCCACCACAGGAATAATCAATACATTTTTGGTTGTTCTCAGGAGACTGTCTCAGCAGGTTTCTTTTTTTATTTCCTTAGCATCTCTCAAAGTCCTACAACTGCTCTCCCTGTAACTCAGCCATTCATTTGTTCTTTCCTACTCCAGCTTCACCACTCTCTGGCATTTTTGAGCCCCAGAGGCAAAGAAATATAAGAAAGAAGGTCTCTAATAAACATAGCAGCTGGTGGGGTCAATTCTGTCAGCAGAAGTGGGAGGCAGCAAAAAGGAATCATCAGCTAGAAGTCGATGACCATCCCACATCATTTGCATTAACATCAAGTAGTGTGGGAGGAAGGAGATAAATCACCAACCGCAAAGAACAAAAGGAGAAGGCTGGGATCACTTTTGCAAGAGGAGAGGAGTTTTCCTCCCTTCTTGGAAAACCAGCACTACATTAAAAGGACTGTGGCTCAGCACAGGTATGATGCTCAGCAACAAGAGTACCACTCATCTGGAACAGCACCTTGGTTAGGAAATCTTTTAAACTGAGGATTAGTTTGGGGGGGTTGTTTTTAATTACAAAATTGTTGTTTGGGGGGTTAGTTTTTGGGGGGTTGTTTGTTTTTAATTACAATATCGTTGTTATTTATGCTTCATAACAGTCATTAAAATCTTTAGTCCATTCATTTGCCCCTTGAACTGAAGATAATGTCTACCACGTCCTCTGATGAAAGGAATGGCAGGTATGTATGTGCACACACACTTCCAAACACTCCCCTAAGTTCAAACAGCAACAGCTCTGTCTTCTCTCTCTGTGGTTCTATATGTAACCTAAAAATGAAAGAAAAGGAAAGAAAGGATAGCTATGATCAGGCTACAGCAGTCAGGTGACTTGGGGAGACCAGGCTGGAGCAAATAGCCACACTGCAGCTAGTGGAGGACCCTGTGGTGTACCAGATTCTTCTGAACCATCACAGGAAGAGCCCAGGCTGGAGGAGGGGGAAGCATAACTAGGAGGGAACAGCAGAGAGGAACTGCTTTGGACTGTCCACAACCCCATTCCTGGTACCATTGGGTTCAGGTAGAGGAGCTGGGAGTGATATTCAGTCTTGGGAAAATGGGTGAAGGAAATGTGGGGGTTTTAATTTTTCTCTTGGATCCTCACTATTCAAGTCTATTTTAATGGGCAATAAATTAAAATTCCCACAAGTCAAGTCTGCTTTGCCCACAATGGTAATTAGTAAGTGGTATCCCTGTCTTTATCTTGACCCATGAGCCTTTCCATCTTATTTTCTCCCCCTGTCTTGTAAAAGAGGGAGCAGCTGGGTGGTGGGCATCTGGCAGCTGGCCAAGGTTAACCCACTAAACAACTACAAAATACCATTTCATATTTTAATTTAAATTCTACATTGAAAATGCATCCTATTTTCTACTTCAGAATTGAAAAGATCAATCAAAATTAAGAAGATAGAAGTCTATAGCTTTGCTCAGTAGATGCCAAAAGCACTTAAGCAAAGTGACAGAAAGACACACTCCATTTAGCCACAACTTTGAGTGTCGTGGAACTGCAGAGAACTGATCTGTTGTGGTACAACTGCTACCACTACAAATGCCATAACGGTGAATCTTACAAACAAAACTATTTTACAAAACAAATTTTCCAAGGAAAGAAATGTAGAGATGGCCAGAATTATTTCTTTTTCATTTTTTTCTTTCAGAAAGTACCTTGAAGATTGACATAAGTATTTTATTTTCCCTCTGAAGGCTACCACTACCATCATCACTGATAATATTTGCCTTGACTTATGACCAGGACCTAAACAATCTGCCACTGCATGTAATGTCCTCGTATCCTGCCACTTACCCACTGGCATCCTGTTGCTCTGCTGCAGAGGAGAATTCCCTTGGGCAAACCTGTGAAGATCTAAGGTGCTAGTCAGAATAAACGACACTAACCTCAACATCTATTCTGGCTCTCAAGCTATCACAATGGTGATAAACACCAAGCAATGTCATACTGAAAAGAAACTCAGCTGCAAGCAAGCAACTCAAGTCTCTCACTCTGAATATCACTTGCACTGCTTGGCCCTCAACTCATGTTCCTTCCCCCTCTAATGCTGTAACATGTACAAGTCAATAGTTTAAAAAATGTCCTACTGGCTTCACTCCACCAGCTCTCACTCAGGAAACAGAGATTTCCACTCTTGGTTACGTATTACAATACTGCGACTGAAACAGGGTTGCACAGAAAACATTTTCCACTAACAAAAGAGACAGATCAAATTCAAAAGCTTCATGGGAAGGCAGCAAATTCACTTAGCCATTTTCATTCAGTCTTCATTTTTATGCTACTATAAAAACATGAAAATGACAATATTTGTATGTAGCAGTTTAATAATAAGCATCTAGAAATTGCAAGCAGAAATATTCAATTTATGGAATTCCATTTGCACTCCCAAAATGAAGTACTATAACAGAACTGCAGTAGAACTTTGCTAAATATCCAGGAGCTTTTCTGCTACCATATTGGACCAGAAAGAGACTGCAGATTTGTGGGTTCTTTAGGTCTTGTAGCCATGGTGTGCTAATGATGCAAGTTCACAAATTAGTACTAACACTGATGAAGTGAAAATGATGAATAAGTCTGACTCTAGAAGCCTGCTCAGGAAGCCTTTAACTAGAATCACACAATTTTAGGGGGTCGAATGGACCTTATAGATCATATAATCCCAACCAGCCTTGCCATGGGTAGGGACACCTCCCCCCTAGATCAGGTTGCTCAAGGATTCACCCAGCCTGTCTATGAACACTGCCAGGGTTGGGGCACCTACTACCTCCCTGGGCAACATGTTCCAGTGTCTCACCACCTTCAGAGGAAAAACCTTTTTCCTGATATCTAGCCTAAATTTCCCTTCTTTCAATTTGTACCCATTGCCCCTTGTCCTGTCACTGCAGCTCCTAACAAAGAGTCCCATCAGGTGCCCATCAGGAGAATCTGGAAGTGAATTGCACTCCTTTGCAGAGGACTTCATAGTTGAGGCAAGTCACAAGAAAAACCTGTCATCCATAGAACCCCAGAAGGCTCTAATCAGAAATGGAAATCCATCATCCTTAAAACATATGGCCAAATAGCAATTTGATTTAAATACCCACATATCTTTTAATGAAATCCATGTATCCATTATAAATGAATTCTGTATTGTCTTCCTTTCTCAGGTACTTTGCAGTATGAAGTGGGCTGTTGCCAGCATTTTATATTCAAAACCCTGAGAGTTAAAGACTCCACTGAGGAAATCAAAACAACTTATTGCATTACACTTCACTGTGCTGTCTCGGCTTGTCTGTGTCCAACAGAACTGTAACATCTGCGTCGAAAGCGAACACCGATGTCAGAGTTGCCCCAAGTGCCTCATCTCTACCACATTACCTGCTTTAGCAAATCAAATCCAAGCAGCACTTACTGTTCTCTGGGCTTTCTTAAGAGACCAGATCAGCACCTAATCCTGTTTATTTTTGTTACTTCTGGTCACAAATGTCATTCCAAGTAAGAGTGCACATCTCAGCAACACAAGAATGCAAAAGAACATTCTTGGTCACTAGCAAGTCCAGCTGGACTTGGTGAGGTCAGATAAACACCAGCTTTTCTTTCTTGACTTCTATACTTAGCTTGAGTGATACAAAGAAATTAAATGGGACAGAGGGTAAAAACAATGCTATTTGCACCACACAGCAAAGACTGGACTATAGATTTTGGAAGTCAGACATCTATTCCTATGAAATGGGAGGCAGCAGTATCTTGGCTGCCATGCAGAAGCCATGAAAGGCCAAGTCTGTGATTGGGGGAGCA